TATGTTGAATTGACATTGTCGTATATTCTACTTTTCTTCCAGTCCATATCAGGAGGGCGTTCATTTGCAGAAATCTTGTTTGGTGGAGTCGTAAATGGTTCTCCTGAAGAAAGAGAATTGCTAAACAGGGGAGTTTCACTACATAAGGTATTCCTTTCTTTTGATATCTTCTACTCCTTTACACAGTACTTCCCCAACTTAGCATTACCTCTTAGTTCGTTATGAGATGAGATTGAATGCTATTTTGAATTTTGCATTGAGAAGTGGATTAGATGAAAGCTGGAAGATTGTCTAGTTACTGTCCCCTCTTTCCACTAAACTATACTTTTGCTTCCAAATCCTCTCTGCCCCTGTTTCTTAAATTCTCTGTTTAAATCTGTTACTTTTGGACTACGGCCGAGTTCACTTTCGTACATAAAAACATCAAAGAATTTATTTTAGAGTACACTTCTCGACTTTTATCTGTTCACACTTAATCCTCTGTGTAGCTGTTGTATTGATCCCATCACATGTGTCTTTTATAAAGTAGATTACTATGTGGTCAATCATTTAGTGCAAGTACATGGTTTAGCTGAAGAGAAGAAGATTTTCTTATTCCTAACTCCTAAGACGAGCAGCATCCAGCTCATTAATGTTGTATTTGTTTCATCCCCATGAGGTGCTTATTCATGCTTTTGCTTCATTTGAATTCTGAAAGCTTTGTTTCTTGTCATTGCTTGAACCAGATGATTAGACTGATTACTTTTACAATTGGTGGCCATGCTTACCTCAATTTCATGGGAAATGAATTTGGACATCCTGAGGTAACTCTCCTGTTCTCACTGTTACAAAGACAACATCTTCATGTTTCTGACGTTTCATCCTTGTGTCAGAGGGTTGAGTTTCCAACACAGAGCAATAACTTCTCGTTTTCACTTGCTAACCGCCGCTGGGACCTGCTGGAAAGTGGAGTACATCATCAATTGTTTTCCTTTGACAAGGTATCAGTGTTACAACCTCTTTATAAAAGTACAGCTTCCTTTTGTTAGCCTCTGTGAAAACTTGCTTCTGTATGTTGGTCTATGAAGGAGGCGAATGTATGTTATCAAGCCAGAAAAGTCTTTAGAACTTGAACTAAGAAAGTTTTACTGCCGATAATGCTCATCTTATATCAGAGAAAACTAAATTGTATATCTTGATGATTCCTTATAAAACTTATAAACAATGCCCATCCTTATTAAAATTATAAGTGTATCTTCACATCTAAGGTGTAGAAAATGTTGCAAGCATATATCCTCTTGGATCAGAAGAAATGCTTCTTAGTTACTGATCTCATTCTTTATTGTAGGAGCTAATGGACTTGGATAAAAGCAAAGGAATCCTTTCAAGAGGTCTGCCCAGCATCCACCATGTGAATGATGCAAATATGGTATTTGACTCCTTTTGCTTTTCTACGTTTACTAAAATTTGTTTGGGTTCAGCCTGAACCGTTCAGGGTATAAACCAGAAAATAAAATTTTCAAAGTATCCACTGAATTGGCTTCTCTAAGGGCCTGAAATTCACTAGCATGCTAGTGTTTGCATATGCTTTTTTTTTACATACAATATTTTTCAGTTAGTGCAAAAAAGGAACAGGATCAAATGCCTTCCTGCATCGTAATAGAGATTCTCCAAACACATCTATAGAATTATGAAGTCAGATAATAAAAGTGTACACCTTAGCGAAGTGAGACTGCCAAAGATATGCATCAGAAATTAAAGCATTTGGATAATGAGCGTGCTTACAAGTCAACTAATTAATTGATCATCATCTCTACAGGTGATTTCGTTCTCAAGAGGTCCCTTCCTATTTATCTTGAACTTCCACCCATCAAATTCTTATGAAAAGTATGGTGTCGGCATAGAGGAAGCTGGTGAATATACAGTGAGTTTTTGCATTCTCTACATAGACATTTGCATAGATATTCCACCCTGTCATTTTGTTAACAAGAGTCGGTCAATGAAACCATTGTTTTATTCTCCGTGAAATACGGTTTTGCTATTATTTTCTGCATTTGTTCTTACTGTCATTACTACAAGGTTTTCTTATGCATTTAACCTGAGAACATTACTTGGATTCTGCAGATGATACTGAACTCCGATGAAGTAAAATATGGGGGTCAAGGACTTGTAACAGAGGGCCAGTATATTCAACGATCAATTACCAAGAGGTTTGTCACATCGTTTATTGTTACCAGATCCTAAAGGATGTTGCCTGTTCCTCATTTTGAACCAAATCCACATTTGCGCAGAATTGATGGTCAAAGAAATTGCTTAGAGGTGTTTTTGCCAAGCAGGACTGCCCAAGTCAG